ACCCCTTCCCCCTCCTCAGCCCCTCCCCTTCCCACTTCTCAACCCATCCCCTTCCCACTCCTCAACCCCAATCTCTTCCCACTCCTCAGTCATGCTACAGGGTTGACCATCGCCCTCTGCCCAAGCCAGCCGGTATAATGTCACTACACAGTACTGAAGGCTGTATAGAAACACAATGCTGGCAAAAGCGAGCAGTCATTGGTGATTGCAGTCACGTGGCTGTGCTGACCAATGACTAATCCCCATTGACTGCATTTCTAGCAGATCAACAGGTATGTTCCTTATACTTGCAGGGTCCTTAAAGTGATAAAACAAAGGGAACTGTGCATGTATTGCAGAGATGTACTACATATGTTTTTTTGTTTTGCATTTTGACAGGTCCCCTTTATGGTGACATCAGGAGTCTATTAGACCCCTAATGTCCCTTATGGGCCCCCAAAGAAGCTGATGAAGTAGAGATCTGCTTCACCAGCTTCTTCTCCGGTTACAGAAGCCAGAGAAATGTCAGGCTGAAGGCGGGAGTGATGTAATACACATTGCTTCCGCATTCAGAGATTGCAGGGGAGGTCAGCGAGAGGACGTGTGCTGATCTCCCCCTGATCTCAGTTCAGAGAGCCGTTGTGCCGGTCCTGGGTCCCCACGAGGGGGACAGCAGAGCTTGAGATAGCTGGCCACAACATTGGCAGCAGGGGGCAGCACACTTGCAAACCACATACAATCAATGGGACAGCTCTATAGCCGCCTGAGCGCTTGAATATAAACAGGCATCACCGGCTGTTTAAAATGCTGACAGTTTAAAAACTCCCGCCCGCATTCATGTCCTGTCTGGCCATATGGGACACTCTTGAATGTGGGAGGGCGTTAAAGTAAAACTGAAGGGTAATGGAGGGTTATCACCCCTGCAGTTTTTTGCCATCTGCATCCCATTATGGAGATTTCACTTCACTTCCTGTCTAATAGCCACAACAGGAAGTGAGAGGAAATCCCTCCACAGAGAGGAAAATCCCTAGAATGCTGCAGAAGTAGTGTCCCCAATGGAAACTTTCCTGTGTATTCCTTTTCTGATGACAACCCCAACATTTTGGATTTTCTTTTACTTTCAGTAGTAACATTCACCAGGACAAATAGAGAGGGTGAATCTCCCTAACAGGGACACAGACAGCAAAAAAACCTTAACAGGGGTCTAAGGGCCCATTCACACCAGACACAGTGCGATTCTGGCAGGAACGCACTGGATTGCATTGCGGCCGACTCACTATGCTGTGGGGCAGGAGGGGGCGTGGCAGTCCATTGACGTGAATGGCACCCTCCGCCCACAGTGCGATCAGCCAGCATGAGATAGCTAAGCACATCAATGCCTGCGGTCCGGTCAGAAAAAATGCTGAAGGCACACAGGCATTGATGTGCCACACGTTCCCATGCGGCCGATCGCATTGCGGCTGGGGGGCATGGCTATGGTGTCATCCACTTCAATGGACCACCACGCCCCCTCCCGCCCCACAACATAGTGAGCCGGCCGCAATGTGGTCCAGTGCGTTCCAGACAGAATCGGCCCGGAATGCACTGTGTCTGGGGTGAACGGGCCCTAATGCCTCTCCACTCCATCCAAAACTAAAATAAAAAAAGTTTGGGCTTCAGTTGCACTTTAAGCAGTCATGTATTGCTGAGGAAGAGAGGGGGCATGTCTGACCAGAGAAGGGGGCTGGCCTGACCAGGTCTATCAGATTATAGAGTGCATTGGACAGAGTTGTTAGATTTAGAAATTGCTTGTTAGCCCAATGTCTATAAAACCGAATATCTATTTCTGAAACTTCAATTGGGCTTTAAATTCCTTCACAACGCAGGTGAGCAGTTCCCACCTAGCATGCCCCGGGAGGGAGGAGGGGGGCTGACAGCTATCAGGTTAGGAGGCCCATGACATGAGTACAGGCAAGCAGAGACTTGTGTTACCTTGTCCACTTGGGAGTCACAGTCACAGCAACAGCAGCAGCAGCATCGGATGAGAACCAGCACACAGAGCAGCAGAATCAGCCCTGGGGAGCAGAGTCAGAGGAGAGTCAGAGCCGGGCATGCTGGGACACTTACACCGACATTATACAGTATGGCTGCTTGGAGTTTGTGCACTCCTGCAAAGCCAGATTTAAAGGGGGCGACATAGACATAAACCTCCTTTTCATATTCATGTTGTTGTATTAAAGTAAAATAAAAAAAATACAAATCTCTATAAAATATCCTCTATTAGGTGCAACAAATGTGCATCAAAACAAAAGGATGTGCAATGCAGTTTGTTTCCTTTAGAAAGTAGCCACAGCGAGAGTAGAAAAGCCTGTCCCCTGCCAGCATGAGGCAGAGAAGGACCCTCACTCTCTGTGTGGAACTCTCTGCCGAGGTCTCACATGCCCCTTGAGTCAGACCTATAGCAAAGCTCATTCTCCTTGCAGATTGGAGAGCTCTAGCTCTGACTCAGAAGAGACAACTGCTTTAACATAAATGATTATTGGAGACCAGCCGCCCCGTGGTACCTGAGGCCTATGAAATGCGCAATGGTTCCTTCTGCCTCATTCTCCACTTAAACCTCACATGCAGCCGGTGAATGGGGAGGCGGGACCAATGACAGGCTGGCTCATAGTGGAGAATGTCCTGCTGTCACTTGCCTTGCCTTTCATTTGCCCGGACGCTAAAGGTGGTTGGGAAAGGAAGAAGGAAGCAATGGCGGGTCCAAGCAACATGGATAACCAAAGCAGTGTACTGTCATGTATTGAATGTGTATTGACTGCAGACGTTTGGCTGAACCAAGAATTCTACTGGAAATACGCTGCTCCCAAGCGCTGAACTGGCAATTCTGGTGGACACATCTCAATGGCAGAAGTATTGGGTACACTGCTCCCAATTCTTGAACTGGGAATTCCGGTGGAAGTATCTCAATGGCAGAAGTATGGGGTACGCTGCTCCCAAGCCCTGAACTGGGAATTCTGGTGGACACACTTCTGCCATTGAGATACTTCCACCGGAATTCCCAGTTCAAGAATTGGGCAAGCCCCTCTGGCATGAGGCACCTAATATTCCATGAGGGTGACCCAGTTCAGGGCTTGGGACCAGCGTACCCCATACATCTGTCATTGAGATATTTCCACTAGACATGTAAACTGCTGAAAAATTCGGTTCGATTTCGTTATTTCGGGATTCAGGTCTGAAATTCAATTTCGTTCGGGGTTTACAAACGAGAATTCATTGCGAATGACACAGAAAACCATATACAGATATTAATACTAAACCTGAATCTCCCAGACCTGAATGGCATCTGGGATCCGAATTTCCGAATTGCATTTGGGAGCTCCAGAATGCCATTCAGGTCTGGGAGCCATATACATGTATTTTTAAAGCTGAGGCTCCCAGACCCGAATGCGAATGGGGAGCTCCCAAATGCAATCCAAAAATTTGGATCCTGAATGCCATTCGGGTCTGGGAGCCTCAGCTTTAGTATTATATGTATTTACCGTATATGGCTCCAATGTTGCCGTAATGAAAATTCGTGTTCAGACCCATTCGGATGCATTAAACCGAAAAACACATCTGATTGGCCAGAAAAGTCACATGTCCGATTCAGTTTCTTTTTTGAATGAAGTTCGGACGAGATGTGAAATTTGGAAACGGAAATTCGGATTTGGACACATTCGGATGCATTGGGATTCGGAAATTCGGATGTGTCCGAATGTTGGAGTTTAGATTTTTGATTCAGAACGAAACGATTTGCACATGTCTGATTTCCACCAGAATTCCCAATTTAGGGCTTGGGAGCAGTGTACCCCATAGTTCTGCCACTTGCCCTATGTTCCATAGGCTGCACAAAGCCAAAGAAAAAAATGTAAACTCTGATAACTTTAATTATCTGGACAACATGAACAAAAAATCCCCATCTGGGACCTCCCCCTTGATGTGCACAAAGGTGCAGGTAAGCCCAGCCTTGTTAGTGTAACGCGTCAGATGAGGAGGGCCCAGGTGTGGGCTTTCTGTTCATGTTTCCCAGATACATAAAGCTACCAGCGTTTGAATTGAGTTGAAGTTGGGTGCAGCTGGTCTTTTCCTTTGGAAATATCTAATTGCTGAAGTCATTGAAAGGAATAAGTAGCGAGCGCACAATTCAGCTCACCAGCAACCATGCAAACCTAAACAAGCAGGTGGAGCTGACCTTTAAAAATAGGATGCTTTGGCAGATGGAAGGTACGGGGAGGTCCAGCTGTTGTTTAATTGTCTCATTTCTGCTGACTTTTGGGCAAAAAAATCGCACAAGAAGCAATTTTGGAGCGTGGAAAGTGCTGAGCGAGGGACGAGGCTCCTGGTATTAATTGCACTCAGCAAAGCTGTTCTCTGCCCCGTATAGTCAGAGCCGAGTCATTAAGAAGCTTTTTATTGGGATCAGCAGATGTGCAGAAAGGAAAACACGGATCCGGGTCATCTGCAGCACCCCACAAATAAAACCTAGCGGTCCTGGCTGAGCGATGAGAGGGGGCTGAACTGGACCGGGGCTTAAAGTGATATTCTTTGGAGGGAAGGTGTCACATGACCAGGGTGATGATTAGACATCTGCAAATCGTTTCTTTCCGAATCAAAATTTGTACAAATGTTCCAAAATTTGGACATTCGGACACATCCGAATTTCCGAATCCCAATGCATCCGAATGTGTCCAAATCCAAATGTCTGTTTCCGAGTTTTGGATCCCGTCCAAATTTCGTTCAAAAACGGAACTGAATCGGACATGTGACTTTTCTGGACCAATCAGATGTGTTTTTCGGTTTAATGCATCCACATCGTTCTGAACACGAATTTTCGTTACGGCAACATGGAAGCAGGGGCATAACTAGAAATCACAGTTAAAGCTTCCCTCACTAAGTGTAGGCGAACGTTTTATGAATACAGTAATCAATGTAGCAAGTATCTAGCTAGGGCACTTCACAAACAACACGCCCAGACCTTCATTCCATCCGTCATCCACTCAACGGATCATATTCTGGTCATGCCCAAACATACAAACATTCTGTGACCAAGTACATACTACTACCCAACAATTCACGGACGCCACGCTCCCGCGTGATCCAGCTCTCTACCTACTACACCGCACTACCATCTCCCTAAAATCCTACAAACGCTCCCCGATACGCCACCTCATCAACACCGCCCGGGCATGCATTCCGGCCTTATGGCGGAAACCTGAACCCCCAACAGTTAACCAATGCCTAGACAGGATACACGAGATTTATCTCATGGAGGATCTCACGAGTTCCCTTAACAACACCCCTGCTAAATTCAGAGCCACTTGGTTTTACTGGATCGATTTTCTCTCCTCCCCGGCCTATACGGAGCTACGTCAGGGCTCTGACGCTTGATACCCTCTACCAACCTGAACCCTAGTCTAGCCCTCCCTTCTAACTTCCCAATGGGATGTGTACCCACCCCATCTTTGACACCCCCTGTATACCTGCCTAATATACCCGGACCCCACCAAACTGCTCCATACTACTTAACAAGCAGTTAACATATCTCCGCAACACTTCCCGAGCACAGTGACATGCCGAAGACCCTGGTCCGCCGACCCCCTCCCCCTCACCTGTCCCATACCCTCGAGGGATTGTCAGCAACCCCCAGGTGGGACGGTATCTCTGTAACTAATGGACCTGGACGGATCACCAACTCCCCCCCTACCCCTCTCTTCCCCAGTCCTGGCCATTGGCTGGGACATAAGTTTATCTGTTTGTTCGTTTATACCTGCCTGAGAAAGACCTATCTCAGCCCCTGAGCGGGCGACGTATAACACTGTGTACTGATTGTGTACGATATACTCTCGTGGCCCTTGGGGGCAAATGTTGTGTATTGTGCTTTTTTGTTGCTTACTTGTTTTGTATGTGAAAAAAGAAAAATTTTGTTTGAAATAAAGAATTTATAAAAAAATAACTAGAAATCACAGGGCCCCATAGCAATATTTTGTATGGGGCCCCCGTGATTGCTAGTTATGCCACTTGCAGAGCCCACCTGATATACCAAACAGCCCACCTGAGAGTGACTCTGCAGAGCCCACCATAGACTCTCTATAGTGGGCTCTGCAGTGTCTCAGATGGCTGCACACCTCTTACCTGACAACGCTGTCCGACCCTGTGGTCCCCAGGTCGCGCCGCCTCTTCTATCGACGGGCCCCGTCTGCTCTTAGGTCGCTGGCCAGTGATGTAAGAGGAGGCGGGGTTGCTCTTAGGTGGGCCCCACCTCCTCCTTCACTGCGAACTCCGGCCTCTTCTGCCACAGCTGCTGGCTGTCACTGACACAGCTCCGCAGCAGCTGTGAGGGGAAATCAGTGATCTTCACAGCCGCTGCTGAGCTGTGTCAGTGAAAGCCAGCACCCTTACATGCCATAGTGACCCAGGCGGCCCACACGGAATCAGAGGGATGCCCTGGCTGGGCCACCCTGTGCCTGTGCCCCATAGCGGCCGCCTGGGTTGCTATGGCGATTGTTACGCCACTGCATGGAAGGCAATATACAGTGAATACAAATAATGTCATTCAGGAGCTCCCCAATGCTTTAGTATTAATATCTGTATATGGCTCCCGTGTTACCATAACGAAAATTTGTGTTCAGTATATACATATAATACTAAAGCTGAGGTACCCAGACCCGAAAATGCATTCAGGATCCAAATTACCGAGTTGCATTCGGGAGCTCCTGAAGAATGCCATTCGGGTCTGAGAGCCTCAGCTTTAGTAATATATGCATATATCTCCCAAACCAGGGTGACACCCTGCCGTGTCGTCATCGCGCCGTCGCGGTAATCCAATTGACGCTTGGTGATGGACGCCGGCAGAGAGGAGGGGACGTTTACCTAGCGGGATGAGATATTTCCCGCCGTGCCCCCTCCTCTCTCCTGACACTGTCGGGCTCTCGGTCCATGACTGAGTGCCCAACTTTTTAGAGGGGGTGACACCAAGAAGACTGTCAGTCATTTTAGTGTCACCCCTCCAATGGTGTCACCTGGGTGCGTGCTGCACCCCCCGCACCTCCCTTTGTGACGCCACTGTCCCAGACCTGGCATTAGGAGCTCCCGAATGCAATTCGGAAATTTGGATCCCAGATGCCATTCGGGTCGGGGAGATTCAGCTTTAGTATTAATATCTGTAGATGGTTTTCTGTGGTAGTTGTAACAAGTATTTCTAAACTCATCCGAAACTAACGAAAATCCGGATTTCGCCCGAATCCGAAACCAACCAACCAAATTGAATTTCAGATCCGAATCCCGAAATATCTGAACCGAACCGAATTTTTCCGCAGCTTACATGTCTTGTGATGATTGACTGGGAACAGAAGATGAAGTCAAAGATTCTCACCAATGAAGGCGAAGAAAATGACAAAGGCGGCGATATCCCAGTCCGACTGGAAGAACTGTTTGCTGGAGATGCGCCCCAGGACATCGTTCCATTGGTCCTTCAGCTGGTCCTCAATACTCGCTGCGGTCGATGAGTTAGACATGGCGAGGAGGGTAGGAGGGGGTCACCTCTGCCGGTGTCTCTTCCCTAAATTACAACAAAACAATGTTATTTACATGATCCGGGAATCAGAATATTCAAGCTGCCAATTAAATTGTAATTTATGATGGTGACCCAAGCAACTGCAGTGGTGGCACAGTTTGGTCATGGACACGCCCACTGTCTGCTGATTGGGCAACAAAGGGGCAGCAGCAGTAGACTGATAAGTCATCTCTCAGCTCATTCTACTCTATCCTCCTATCAGCTTTGTTCTTGTCAGCTGATTGGCTCTTAGTGCCGCCCCCCTTCTCCCTGTATGAGTGTGTGATAGGAGATTACTGGAGGCCAATACCAAGACAGAATCAGATCTGTACAAATTTTACTTAATACAGAGCCGTATTTTTATTTTTGGCTAAAAAACAGCTTTGGACCCCCAAACAATGATATATTTTCTGAAAGCTGAGGCCCTGTAGAATAAAAAAATGCTAGCTGCAATTCTTTATTTCGCCCGGTATTTGCGCAAATGTTTATCAAACAGGTATTTTTAGGATTAAATACACTAAAATGAATTTTAGTGCACAGAAACAGAATATAATGCAAAATTATTTGGTAAAATATAAAAGATCGGGTCACGCCGAGTCAATAGATACCAAACATGTCAAGCCTTAAAATTGCGCGCGTCGCGTGAAATCACAAAAAAAACTACAATAACCAAAATTTCCCATAGGTGACGCTTTAATCGCTTTTACGGCTCATCAGTTCAGTGTTATCAGTGATTAATGGGCCTAGAATTATTACTCTCACTGCGACGCTCGCGACGATATGTAACATGTGTGGTGCAATTTTCGGTTTTGCACGTAGGCGCGTGTTTGCGTGCACGTGGGGGCGGGGGACTTTAAAATATTTTTTTTGCATTTTTTATTTTTTTTAATCTGTTACTTTAATTTTTACAATTTTTTTATACGCTCAACTTTATCGCTATCACATAGGGGGATAACAAGCCTCCTATGTAATAGCAAATATATTGTGACAGGTCCTCTTTATGGAGACATCAGGGGTCTCCAAGATGTCACCTAGGGACCCCAATGAAGCTGAGGAAGCAGTCTGCTGATCTCCTTCCGATCCATCAGGGGAGACGCCTAGGGTTGCCACCTGTCCAGGATTCACCCGGACAGTTCGGGTTTTGAATGCTGTGTCCGGATTTCATGGCAGCAGAAACCTGGACACAAGATGTCAGGCAGACAGGGGCAACCAAAATTAAGATAGGGGCTACTGGCCCCCCACTGGAAATAGTCCCAACTGTGATATTTACATATGAATAAGGCGCGACTCATTCTCCCACAAAAATGTCTGCGCGTCGCTAGAGTGTTCGGGTTTCACTGGAAGAAAAGGTGGCAACCTTATCCACGCCTGCCCAGGGCTCGCACAGGGGACAACGGAGCGCGGCAAGCCGACGGTGGCGGAGGGAAGGGGGGGACACACGGCGCTGCACCGTACAAACGATCCGGCGCCTGCACATAAATTGGCACCAAGAACGCGGCTGCAGCAGCCACCACTTCCAGCAGATGGCGTGTATTTCCGTGACCCCGCTGGAAGAGGTTAAAGGGCAATTCCACTTTTCCAAGCGAATTCGGGAAAATGGAATGACCCCCTCCAATCTGCCCCCTGTATCAGGTGACCGTGCTGACCAATGAGTGCTCGCCATTTGCAAGTGGAATTAAAAATACAGAGCGCCGGGCTCCGCTGCTGTATACGGTGTAGCCATGGAGGAGGAGGAGTGTTAACAGGTAAGAGCAGTGGGGAAGGAGGGGGTGGCCAGGTATTGGGCAAGAAGGGGGCGGGGGTGGCGGTGAGAGGGGGGCAGATATTAGAGGGGGCAACTCCATTTTCCCAAAATCACAAAAGTGAAATGACCCCTTAAAGTTACATATAAAAGGAACACAATTGCAGTGTTGTAATCACGACTATAATACTGAATGTGTTTTTTATACAAGCACCTGAATGTGACCTGGTATCAGCCTCTTGCAGCAGCAGAGCTCAGACTGGGAACACAAGAAGCACAAGGAGCCATTTAGGCGGGCTGCAGTGCAAGGAGCATACTGATAGGAGGAGAGAGCAGAGAGATGACCTACTCAGTCTGCTGCTTCTCCTTTCACTGTCCAATCACAAGCTGGGGGAGGGACAAGACTTGTAAGTGTTACTGAACTGCATCGGGTCATTTTGTTTAATCCCGGAGTTCTCCTTTATGTTCCTGCAGCTGCGGAGAGGAAGTGAAATTAAGTATTTATATGGATCCGTCACTGGAGGCGGGGCCAAGCCGATGAAGTTTACGCCGAACATTTCCGCGTTTGGATTGAGTGTTAAAACCAACAGGCCGCACCCGGTCCTGGCTAAACATTATATGTACTCACTGCTGACACATGACACGGCACCCGGCCGGGGATATGATTAACCGGGAGAGAAGGGTCAGCCGGGCGTGGATCGGCTCCGGGGCGGCGGCGCCGGCAATGACAATGTTATATGTATGGCCTTATAAAGACAAATGTTCAACGAAGCTGGAAGTGTAATCTGCTTATATTGTGCCATTCCTGTGTGAGGAAGCAGCGGCCTCTCTGCAGAGGTTCAACACACCCTCTGCTGAGCGGCTCAGAGTTCTCCAATCAGCAAATCTCATGTTGGCTTTATCCAAGATGGGCAGATCGTACGTTTTTAAAATTACTTTACAACCCCCGCAAGACTAAAGTTTTGCACGGTTGTAAAGTGTATGGCCACCTTAAGACTGTGCACGGCTCTCGCTGCACCCGGAATCTATTGTCTCTGCTGCACCCGGAATCTATTGTCTCTGCTGCACCCGGAATCTATTGTCTCTGCTGCACCCGGAATCTATTGTCTCTGCTGGACACGGAAAGTTCAGTCGGGCTGTAAAACTATTTTGGGACTTTTGAAGAAAGATTTTTATGGAGTGCGACTTTAATACCTAGCAACACACACTGCATTCCTGTGTGGAGGAGGGGGGGATATAAAGTGCAGAAGGATCAGATCGCAGCGATTGGCTGCCAAGTTCTCGGGAAGGTTTATCACCGGCTGTAAATTCCCTGAAGTCACGTGACCGAGAGAAGAAAAATCTTCTGCTGAGACCCCAAATACATCCTCCGGAAGGTTCTGCGGCCCCCCCAGCGCTGCATGTCATCACATGGGGCTGTATTTCTGGCCATTACTACCCCCCCTCCCCAAATAAATTCTCTGACCCCTGATGTCTGCAGCGATACCACCTATGTGAGCGTTATTCCACGTCAGTACTGTGCATTCTTTCTTCCAACCGCAAACACGCTGAACCCATGCCCAGAGATACAGGGGGAGGGGCCCAAAAGTGCCTTCCATTGTTCACTGAACCCTAACACTGATCCCGACCCTAACACTGAACCCTAACGCTGAACCCGACCCCATTTCCGACACTGAACCTGACCCTAGCACTGATCCCAGACCCTAACACTGAACCCTAACACTGAACCCGACCCTAACACTGATCCCGACCCTAACACTGAACCCTAACACTGAACCCGACCCTAACACTGATCCCGACCCTAACACTGAACCCTAACACTGAACCCGACCCTAACACTGATCCCGACCCTAACACTGAACCCTAACACTGATCCCGACCCCATTACTGACACTGAACCTGACTCTTATTCTAAAGGTAACCCTGTCCCTAACCCTTACACTGGCCCTGACACACAGCTCAACAGTGACCCTGAGGCCCCATTCACACTGAGCGATTTATGGAGCGTTTTTTGCAGCGGTATCGCTCATATTTCCACGTGATATCGCTCTATGTAGCTTCTCCAATCCATTTCAATGGTGCTGTTCACATCTCGCCGCTCAATATCGCTTGTAGCTCGTCGCTTGTAGCTTGTCGCTCCTACATGACCCTTTTTTCGAGCGATTTCGAGCGATATTGCTCCTGATTGCATACAGCCCAATAGGAAAAAGTTGCGCGATGTCGCTCAATATCGCTCAAAGTCGCGCGATTTTCATGTCGCTCAGTGTGAATGGGGCCAAACACTGACCCTGACACTAAGCCTAACACTGAGCCCGACGGAGAAGGTCGCGCTACCGTCGCTGGAACGTCGCCCCGAAAGTCGCGCTATCCCGGCCGCTGCAAAGGTATGTCGCTACATGTGAACGGGGTCTGACGGTGACACTAACACTGTCTCTTTTGCTAGAACTGACCCTAACACTAAGCCTAACCCTAATAAGAACACTGACCCTGACACTAACACTGATCCCGACCCCATTACTGACACTGAGCCTGACACTAAGCTTAACAGTAACACTGACCCTAATATTAACACTGACCAGAACCCTAACACTCACCATGATCCTGACTCTTATACTAAAACTGACCCTGATACTAAGCCTAACACTGACCCTAACACTGACACTAACTCTTATGCTAAAACTGACCCTGTCCCTAACACTGACCCTGACACTAACCCTAATACGAACACTGACCCTGACACTAAGCCTAACACTAACACTCACCCTGACCTTAACACTGACCCTGACACTATGCCTAACACTAACACTGACCCTTACACTTATACTAAAATTGACCCTAACACTAACAATAATACAAACACTGACCTGGACACTAAGCCTAACACTAACCCTAACAATAACTCCTATACTAAAACTGACCCTAACCCTAACACTGACCCTGACACTAAGCCAAACCTTAACACTCACCAACCCTAACACTGACTCTTATACTAAAACTGACCCTAACACTAACCCTAATACTATCATTGACCCTGACACTAAGCCTAACACTGACCCCATCCCTAACACTGCCACTGACCATAATACTAACACTGAACCTGACATTAATCTCGGGTCGGCCCTGATCTATCTTCTCTTTCAGACGTCTCTTGTTGTCTCCTTCTTGTCAGAGGAGAAAGGTGCGGGAAAGGTTCTATGACTAGCGGTCACTGCAATAGCCAATCACACGCTATC